CATGGTTTAGGCGACATGGTGGTGTTGGGTTAACGATGGACTTGACGATCTTGAAGGTCCTTTCCAACCTTAGTGATTCTGTGAACTCTATTACTCATGAAATAAGCCACAGATTACACCGGCTGATACATAGCACACAGATGAAGTGACTCAGTCACATTAGCCATTTCAATGCTAGATGTTTCTTCAGACCTGCTGTCTCCTTATGTAATGCAGTAAACATTTATGGAGGCCTTTGTTGCAAAAGCCTCAAAGATGTACAAAGACCCGTCTTGTATGTTAAGGCTGCACCCCTAAAGCTGGCTCTTACTAGTCTAGAAAGGCTAGGAATCCTCATAAGGCTGGGAACTCCCCCTTCCTAGAATGCTTTAAGTCTAGTCTAGGAGCTTCAAATGAGCCAAAAATAGCCTGGATACAAAAATACAGTAGAAGCAGGCTCGTTTCTGAAGGCTGTCCCACTCCAAAGAATACCTGCCTTCATAAAACTAGGAAAAAAACTAGTGGTCAGAAACTTGCATATATTTGCAAGAAAAGGAAAGAGAAAGAAAAGGCTTATTCAGTTTTATACTTCCATATAATAAAGATTTCCCTCTGCAGCTCCTCATGCAGGCAGCCAGAGAGTTTTCTAAGAATTCACAGCGACTTCTGACTTACTGTGAAGTCTGTCCAGATGAACAGCTTGGAAATTTAATTGACAAATTAAATGACAATTGATAGTTTAAACAACAAATGCAGGAGGGTATACCAGAAATGGTACTGACCACAGCATGGTTTAATAAGGGGGAGGGGAAGAAAAGAAGTGAGGACAATAAATAAATAGGGTTTTTTTTCCTTTTTTAGAAGCACACAAAAACATACTGTAACCAAAACCCAAACCAGACTGAACTAAGTGTATCATTGCAATTTTTGCCTAAAATAAGCTGAAGCCCACAGGATTGAATCGATTGCCTATCAATAGTTTGGTTTTTTTAAGTTACTTTTTGGAAGCAGAAAGAATCATCCATCTGTGCAAACACATACTGCAGACATAGCGACAGCTTTGTGTGTATGGAACAGTTCTTATTAGAACAGACTAATGACTATTTTAAAGAAATGTAAGATTTCTGGTTTTTGGTTTTGTTTTTTTTTTTTTTTTTCCAATCACACTACAAACAAACACCAGAGTGGAAAGTTACAGGATGCCAAAGTATAGATAAATCCTAGAAAAAAAACGAGACTAAGATGA